AAATCAATTTAAAATTTTCATTACTTTTTATAATTGGTTCAAAGTATATGTATAAATAACTGAAATGGTTCTGTAAGAATTATGATTTGTAATAATAATATAAAATTACAATAAGAAAAGAAGAGTATCTTAATACTCAAACAGTATTAATCTCTTCCATATTATCTATATCTCAAAAGTGGCACACGGGGCACTGGAAATCTTAGCTTCACTCCCTTAATTGTATTTAGTTAATTAGCATACAAAATTTCATTTATAAGCTTGGTAATTACTCGTTCAGCTAGTACATTATTAATATGATTCAATGTAAATTTTAAGTACCGCTTATCCAATATTTTGTTGTATTTACGTCATATCATGATTTGGTCATGGAAGGTCATTGTGTTTTGACGTCATATATTTTTCTACATTATAAAAGCATCCACTCTGTATAAAGAACATGCCATATAACATTTCGCTTTGGAGCTTTGAAAGTAGCTTACTATAGTATTGTTTGTTAAGAAATGTAGTTGACAGTTGTTGTTGCCAGCTCCTTATCGGTACTCAAGTTTTCATTGTTCATTCTCAAGCTCAATATTGCTTTGAAAACTATGTACAAAGATTGGTTTTGCTAGTTATCTGAAGATTAAATCTATGGAGTTGTTGAGGTCAAGGACGATTATGAGAAAAGTGATTTTGAACCTTTCGCACTCAATTTTACCTCGTAAATTACGGCTTCAGTTAATAATATTAGTGAGTGACATTTACTTAATTAAACGCGTAATATTTAATAATAATTAATAGACACTTAACTCTTTATAAAACTATTTGTAGCGTGTTGTTTACTTGTATACTTGTACAGAATTTCAAAAAGTTGTTTTATTTCGTATGAGTATATAAATTTGATACGAACAAACGGAAAAATTATTTCTGATTTTTATGTTTACATAAAAATCTGAAATATTTTTGATTCAAGATGTCTATCGGTCTGTTTCGTTTATTAACTTTATAAGGGTAATGTAAATGGATGTGACGTTCTCTTGTCTTGTTATTAAATTTATTAACACAAAAGCTATAAAATTACGAGACTTAGAATATGAAACAACACTAAAGATTTATTATCAGTCACTTTCATGCCAAATTTACCTTTGCCAATGTTATATACGCAAACAACGTTAAGTCATAAATTTCTTTAACGACAAAGTGTGTTAGGAAAATCCATAATAGGTGAAAGTGATTCTGACATCTTAAAGCAGTGCTAGCGTAGTATAATTTACAAGAGACTTGGCTTTATCAAAGATTTTCTTTACAACAGATTTTACGATCGACTCTCAGAACTCATAATCTGATGATTGTAATAATCTAGGGTTTCCTTGTAGTGAAAAGATAACAGTCATACCTGAATCAAATCTTCTTTTTTTAATATTTTAAATTGGAAAAGTATTTTTATTCATAAAAGGAAAATTATATTTTATACGTGTCTGTGTATACAAAGTATGACGTCACGTAAACAGTGTTTAAAAAAGAAGATTAGACCTTTAAATGCATTTAAAATATTTTCTGAAGCTAGATAGTTAACAAAATATGGTCATATTTAATTGATATTGCCTTCGACAAAAACATTTACTACTATAAATTTACTACAAAAGTGTTACTTACTGTGCTATCCATAAATGATGGTGCCTCGACGACTTCTTCCAAAATTTTGTTATAAATATTATGTGACTCATTCTGAATTTTTAATATTTTAAGAGAAAATCTTTTTCATGATTATATGATGTAATAAATGATTCCTTTCCATGATGTAATAAATGATTCCTTTCCAATCCCACTAAACGCAAAACAGAACCTTCCTGGCCGTTAGTCCCGGTTTGGCCACCGTCTGAGCTGCTTCACCGCGCTTTGACCACGATCGCTTTCGCATAATGTTGTCATATGTGACCCATTTCTCATCCCCAGTCACCATCCGTTTAAGAAATGGGTCGATTTCATTAGGTTTGGCCAAGGCTTCGCAGATGGAGATTCGATCCATCATGTTTTTTAGTGTTAATTGGTGTGGCACCCAAACATCAAGCTTTTTTTTAAACCCAGCTTTGTGCAAATGGTTTAAAACTGTTTTGTGGTCGATCTTAAATTCCTGGGCGATGCTACGACTACTAACATGCCGGTCCACTTCGATGATTTTAGTGACTTTGTCGATATTTTTACAGTTTATATTATTTACTTCAAAGTTGAGGTGTGTATGTATTTTAATATTGAGATAGTGGAATATTTTAAAATTTCCCTTATATTAAACGCCTTACTTGAGTAAACTACTCCGTTAAGACTAAAATCCGTCTTTCTACCTCAGGATGTGAATAGTTGAACGTCGCTACGGAACGTAGCTTCGAATTCAGAATAAAGTTGTGTTCTCAATGGATATTTTATAATTATACTTATAAAACTTTATACAATATACAATTAAATCGTTTTTTAAAATTTAATCAGTTTAAAAATTCAAGTTTTTAAACAAAAATAATTTGTCTTTTAATTTCTTAATGATTGTAACATTATCTTGAAGGCTGTATCTGCTACTTTGTAATATATAGTATCGTAGCTCATACTTCCAGTAAATTACAGGATGTTATTGTATTTTTTTTATTTGAGAGATAAATTACAACCACATTTTGGGAATTAGAACAGTCATGAAGTCTTTCCAAAGTTTCATTTTAATTTCAATTAGGAGTATTAAATTTCTATACACTTAAAAGCAATACTAGCCCATTTCAAACATTGGCTTATGTTCTCATTTCCGGGACAATTTTTTAAATGGAATTCATGAATAACAAACACGAAGTCCCAAAAAATATAACATTTATCTTATAAATCTCTAAAAGCAATTTCTCATAAATATTATTCGGTATTGTGAACACAGTCACCTATAGAGGCACGTATTCAAACGGGCGCAATTTAAAAAATTTTGTCCACAAGACATACTGCATCGCTCTGTTATGTGCCACATACTCAATGCAAAGTTATGTGCCACATACTCTCGGTCACTCATCTCGTTCTCATGGCGCAGAACAGAAAGATTATTTTACAACAAATGACATCATTGAAACAGGCGAAAGTGTAAACATTTGGCGACTACGTGAATCTAGCTTGAGCATCAAACAGATCTGATTACAATTTTTATGTATCACTTTTTAATGTTTCGAAAAACAAATATTTTGAAAACAATTTTTTTAATATAAACTGCAATTTAAAAAAAGCAAAATTTAAAATAAACCGCAATATCAAGAAAACAAAAAGTATCTGTACATTGTATAAACATTTCCGCTCAGTATGTTATATTATTCCAATATCGGCGAAACAGTTTGGATCTGAGTTTAATAGAAACAATAGCGAGATTTTGATCTCATAAAGGCCGGGCTAAATATGTATTCAAAGCGGGTGTGATATGGAAGATAATTCCCGAAGTGTCCCGGGAGGCGGACGATAAACGGACGAGAATTTGGCTATATAGAGGTGTTTAGGTGAAATATTTAAATGGTAATACCCTGTTTAACGAAATCTTGATTACAACTTACTTTTTGGTTTGTTTCGAGTTCTGTTTGGTTCATACTGTTCATACTATAGAGTTTCCCTTTAATAATTATTTTCTACATTATTATACATCTCTATCATATAATTGTAAACATTTTATGTTCTGCGGTTCACGAAATAAATGATCTCTATATTTATAATGGATAAATTATAGTTATAATATAATTAAATTTATTATTTATTTTTTAGTAATCTTTTAATGTATATTATTTTAAATTTATAATTATGATTTTCTCTTTTTGAATTGTTTTGAGAAGAACTTTATATAACAATTTCAATAAACACAATCTGTTTTGTGATTTCGTGAAAAACGTTAAGTAAAATAGGATCAGTTTAAGGTAAATTATTAATGCTTTCATGGAATTGGAAATAATGAATTTGATTTGAAATATAATGAGAAGGTCTATAAGCAATATACAAAATTTCATTCATTATTTATCTGATTCCAAGTAGGAGGGTTCTAAAAATGACTCATAATGTTAAATACAAACATTTCTTACTATATTCAAAGGAGAAATCCAATACTCTTTGGAAGGTTCGGTCATTTATATTCGTATCCAATTAAATTTCATATTCAAAATTAGCTTAAAGTAGCTTTCGAATAAATGAAGTGAATTATATAATAGGAATACCTTATTGATCGGTCTCATACAAATTGGGAAAAAATTCTTTACATATTTCCCTTTCATATCTCAAATAAAGGGTATTAATAATTTTATATACAATTTATATTTTATCTTTTTATTTATTTCAACAAAATAGTATTTTAAGAAAGCAATTTTAGATGACCGTCTTGAATTTAGGATACTGTATCTTCCATCCGCAAAGTGCTCAAGTAGTGCGAAAACAATTCATATAAATATATTTTTTGTGATCACAAGTAGATCACTAAAAATAATTAATTTTACTAGAACTAAAAGGTCTGAAAAGATTTCATTCAATAATTTTATTTCAGTTATTTCACTTCTCATATTATTAATAATTTATCTTCAAAAAAAATTATTGTAAATCATTGTTTAGAACTAAAAGCACTTAATCAGAATCTAAGATTATTTTTATAGTTTTATTTGAATACTGAAGTTCACAACACGATTCTCAGCTAAAATAATTAAACTTTAAGGACCTTGATTGGTATACCTTAAAATTCCTAATAAGAAACTATTATACAATTTAGGGGCCATCCATAAAGTACGTCACACTAATTTCATGAGTTTTTGAGCCCTCCCCCGTCCTTGTCACAGGTGGTCACATTTCTGAGACCCCCCCCTCCCTAGTGTGACGTCACATGTTTTGCAATTCAAAATCGAAAAATTATTAAATTAAAACAGCAGTTCCGACATTAGTTTTATTTCCATTTAAATTAAGTACTTTTTTATGAAATCAAATATTTGAAACAATAACAAAAAATAAAGTAATGAATATAAAGAAAAAGAAACTCAATCAACTTCAGTCCATGGACTTTGAACCCAGTCCTTTAAATTATTTATGACTGGCATGGCAGTCACTTCACAGTTCACTTCGTTTTTCACGTCAGGAACATTTGTGGTGTCAACATCTTTTTCATCCAACCATAAGGCATCATCATTAATATCCAAGCAAAGAATTTCTCTGGCACGTCTAGCTGCTATTCTTTGAGGGCGTATCTTTGCAATGGGAATCTTAATCTTATGAAGTTGTTTGTGTAGGTTAGTGGCTTTATATGATGCAAAATATAGACCACAGAAGCCGCATGATCGCTTACACAAGTATCCCTCAATACTAGGGCAGTAACTATCATACGGTACTTGCTTTAAATGTGATGACGCACTCAGTTTTAAAGATAATTGAAGTAACAGTGGAGCGAATTTACTTTCGATATCATCCTTTTCTGTTGTTATGTACCCGCTTGACGTCTGTTTAATTAAAACAGGTGGTGGCAAAAAACCCTCTCGTAGTAGTCGCCGAAGACTAGATCGTTGCACACCACAGCACGAAACCACTTCACATTTTACTATTTGCAGTAAATATTGTGATTCCCGGACATGCTTTGCGTACCAAATCGCATCACGTTTCAATGCCTTAGCCTGTTCAACATCCAGTCTAGTTTCTGTAGGCATAATATATTTGGCAACCACAGGATATCCATCAATGACCAATTGGCTCCAAATATTACTCAGTACTGTGCCTGCACTCTCAAAGTTTCTTTTTTCCAAGTCCAGGTCAGTAGTTTTATTACTGGAATCGAGATGTGAACCGAAATTATCGTGTTTTAATACAACACCAGTAAGTTCACGACTAAGAGGTGCCATTCGTCGTTCTACTCTGTTAAAAGCACTTCTTCCTGGGGCATTTGTGGCAATGTAAACAGCATCCAAATCAAAATCTTTAAAATGTTGTATAGCTGAAATTATAACTCGCTCGTATCTTGGATTTTCGTCGGGACCACCATCGCAAGTAAAAATAAATACGGGTTTTACAAAACCTTCTCGAGTTTTCATGAAGTTCTCGAAGGCCGATATTTCAGTAAGTTTGTGTATATCTGTGGCATGAGTCTCTGCATTAGAGGACGAATGCTTTCCACTGCGAATTGCTACATATGTAGGCCCGGAATGTGTCACAGCTTCAGGTTTTCCTTCACCATCTTTCTTTACTACAATACCTGCATAAACAGAGGGAATAAGTTTATGTTTTTCCGCAACCACGAAATCATGATCCGGTAATTTTACACGATAATCAAGGTGCATTAATATTGGTGCTTGAGCGTTTGCTGCTGTAATACCTAATGGCACGCGTGCTTTGTCATCCATCGATAAAAAGAAAACTTGTTCAGGGCCCAAAATTGAAGCTAACGATTCAAGGTTTCTTATCGTCGCAGTACAAAATGGACCATCTTGATGTTTTATATGTAGCGTAGAGTCGGGTTTGCATAGTTTGACAGGAACAGTTACGACATGTCTTTTTCCTTCCTCTGTATTGACTCGTCTGGGCAGAAGTCTCAAGTATAACCCTGATCGACTGATAGTATATCCCAGTTTACAAAGTTCGGCTTGTAAGTCGTCTAATGTTTTACAGCACCTTATAGCTTCAGTGCGACGTCGATCATCAGCTGCGCCACCAAAAACTGCAAGGTCCTTTATGACTCCAAGTAAACCGGATTGTGTTTCTTCTATTCTAGGCCGCCCAAAAGTATCTCGAAGTTTTAGTGTTGCGGCTAAATCGGCATTTTTTTTTTTTCGCAAAGTTCTACAATTTTTTGTTTTTTAAAATCACGACTTTTTTTCTGTCTTTCTGCTGCGCTAATCTTTCGCTTTAATATATTTTTTTTCCTGCTGAATATTTTTCTTTAAAGTTGAGATTTTTTTTATTGCTTCATTTGAGGCTATACCAGTATCGCGTGCTAATAACAAGCTATTGAGTTCAGATTCTAAAACTACAATTTTATTCCGTGAAGCACTCTGACTAGGCGTTGGTTTAGGTATTGTTTGAAGCTGACTTTCACTTGACGGTATATTAACCATATCAGTGTCTTCTGGTAGTGCTGTCTGACCTTCGTTAGTATTTCCCTGCAAATTATATGTTATATTGTAATAAAATTCCAATTAATATTATTATATCGTTACTTTTTATACCGCGGTCTTGAACCGCACCATATTAGAATTACTTGTATGAAGTCCTATGAAACCGTAGGTGTAAAAACAAACACATAATCGTAGTACACGCGGGCAAAACTACGAGCGGAAAGCTAGTCTTAAATAATTATTAGTACCTAATGCGGCGCGTGCGATGTGATTCAAGTCCGCGTCCATCTTTGACTCCTGAGCGTGATAATTAAGGATTGTAATTAAATTCGTAATAACTTACTTGTACTTTTCCCTCCTTTTCCCGCTCTAGTTTTATTCGTGATATTGACGCCGAAGGAATTTTCGAAAAAAAATTCATTAGTGTCGCTTTTTTTTTCGTCATTTGTATCTGCAGCTCTTTGATTTTCAATTCCACATCACCTTCGATATTGTCACTACTTTTCAAAATTTTCCATAAGGTATTAACTTCTTCCTGTATATGCTGTTTTTTTTTATCAGCGTAAGTCGCACTGTATGTTTCGTATAATTTACGGTAAAGATTACCTAAATCTATTTTTTTGTTCATTTTGAACTTGATTTATTAAACTATGTTTATATCCACAAAATAGCACAACTAAAAAAACGACGTCGTTCCCTCAGCGAAAGCAAATTGTCGAATGAAAATATAAAAACAAAAACATTACCTACGCGAGGTGCGGTGCATTTGGCGGCATTAGTCAAAGGGCTCGTCGGCGATCGGCACGTGTCAGAAGCGGCTATGAACTTGTCAACAAAACAATTTAAACCGTATTGCCCTAAAGATAGAGTTGGACATATTTTTTAGTTTAATTAATATTTCAAATTACGCGATTAGTACCTCTAGATTTTGAAATGTGATGTCACGAAACTTAGGAGCCCTCCCACCCCTTGTCACACCATGTCACACTTTGTCGACCCCCTCCCCCCCCCTTTACGTGTGACGTACTTTATGGATAGCCCCTTACCACAGTAAAGCGAAAAGCAAAAATTATCCCTAACTTGCGAAAACCCACTTCATTACCAAGTTCAACTCCCGTGTAAACGAGCGAGAACTCAAAAGTAGTTCAAGATAAGCATGATCCTAACATTTCCATAAACGAATAGAAGTTTTCCCATTTCAACTTATTTTTTTATCGTCAATCTCGACTGGATTTTGCCATCGTGATGATTCAACGTAACGTTTGTACACTAAAACATTCTTAGCAGATTAGCAATTAAGAACCTTCGAGTTATTAATTGAAATTGTGTAAAATATTGCAAAACGGCGTAACATACAAATTTTTAAATTGTAATAATTCGAGAATGGAATTTAAAAGACTAAGTTCCTATCAATCTTTACAAGAATATACTAAAATAAATTTTGCCTGCCACATTATGTTAACATATAATGATAAGGGAATTTTTACTTTATTGTTGGAATCATGGAAAGGGTTTTGTGCAGTATATGTCACAAATAACTCCTAATTGACTCATCCATTATGTGCCATACATGAAGCTCACACAGATATAGACAGATTGATACACGAAGGACGGGCATGCAGATTTGTAGGTCTGCCAATCACCAATTCGATTATGTAATTGATGCCAGCATCATGACTCATCCATAATTTTATTCAAATTCAGCTTCTAAATATACGTATATGAGTATATATGTATATCTAAGTCTATAAAATAAGTTTTACATATCTTATAAACAACTAGATTTGGTTGATACTGATTTGTTTTATAAATGACCGCATGGATTTTGACGAAACTTTTAAGAGCAGATGTCAGTATCTCTAAAAGTTATTATTAGCTTTATAGCTTGAGACTGCCAATTGAGGAAGGAAAATATGGAATGGGATTAGATTAGATTAAAAGAGAATGGAAAGATTTAGGGTCACCGAAAGGAACTCTAAAAACAAACAAACATTCAAATAAATGTTAGCCAAAAGAAACATAGTTGAGCAGATCTTCTTTTCTCGTTGAAATACTAATCTTATTAAGGCATCACAAAATAACTCAATGTTTTTCCAGGATCTCTTTCGTCAGTTCATTTGTTCTATATCCATACAAATGATAAACGAGTACCAGGTACATATGTCAACATTCTTTTTAATAATTCCTTTCTTACAAAACATTATTACATTTTTTTTACTTTAAACTATTCATGATTTAAAAAATAAAATATCCATATCACTTACAACTGATACCTTGAAAACCTCCCGCCTATATACGAAACTATTTAGGTATAGTTTAAGCGCAAATTACTACATTAAGATAATATAAAATTAATTTACCTCATCTAAGTAAAAAAGGAGTAATAGCAAACACTTCTTACGAAATACTAATAAAGTCCGTGCAGTGATTTACTTACAGTGTATTGGACGTTATTTTATAATTTTACTACGGGATATTTCAGCATTTTAATTAAAATATTTATAAGGTAAAATTATTTCTAAAACAGAAACTACTTAAATTTGAAATAATAAATATCTATTTAATAGTAAGAACTATATGTATCTTGAACAATCATAAAAATGTAACAAAAATTTCTAAAGAAAGAGATGTATAAATAACGTTAAAATAGCGAATTTTCTAATTTAAGCTCCCACCCATCACGTCGCAGAGGTCAATCTTACAGCATCAGCCCCACATTAACCCCGACCGCCCCTTACAAAACTCCAGACCTCCTCTGACAGTCTTATTAATCTGTTTCTTATGAAACTTCAACATGATAAATTAATGTTTTTAAAGCCCCGATACAACAATCTTTCATTTTAGTCCGGGGTACTTTCATAGGATTGTAACTTTGTACGTATTTAAGCTTAAAATGAATTCTGAATGAAGCTTAAAATAAGTCTATATTATATATTGGTTGTGTGTACATTTACATACATTTTAAGCCGAGATCTTTTCATAAATATATCACTTTGAAATCTTATAAGGTCTATGGAATAGTATAAAGTGGTTCTCGGATCGCGTTACAAAGGTCGACTCCGCATTATCCTCGTGACCGGCTTCAAAGGAATTGGTTGAGATCTTCGCTAATGCTTTCATTGATTTTACCGAAAGTGAACCTTCATCTTTTGTTCCACCCATTGTATTGCCATCCGTGTCAAAATATATTTGTAAAAGTAAAACTTAAGTGATATTGAATCGAACACGAATATAGTTACTTCATATTAATATGAAAATTTCAGTTTGAAATGTCATAAATGAGGAACAGGTAATAATTAATATAGAAAACGAACTAACTAAACAAAAAATAAACAAATTAAATGATAACCAGATTTAAAGGACAGTTTATTTTAATGAGGTTTTATAAACGTTTCTATTTATTCCTATTCGATAGCAAAGACATATATAGAGTAACTGTTAACAGAAGAAGAAAAACAATTATACAAATGAAATATATATTAAAAATATTTTTTTCATATTAATAATGACAATCTAAACACTGACGAAGTAAAACACTTGCTATGAATAAACATAATCAAAAAGAGAATATCAACAATAGCATAACAATTTATTATGAAAACAAACAAGTTTCGAGCATGGATAATATGCAGAACTATTTTATATAAATGGTATGATTACGGAAGTAAACAAAGCTTTAATCATAATATATTTCAAAGGCAACATCAGCAAAAATTTCACTTGCAAAAATTTCACAATTCTTGGAACGTAATCAACGACCTATTTTTTGTGTTTTAGGCAAAAATACGAGTTTTGGACAAATATCGATTATCGATTATCTGTTGAGGTAATTAAAATTGACAATATTTTATCATACATTAATAAATTGTTCAAGTGTGTATGTATTTTGTGAGCTTTGAAAAATTTGCTCTGTTCATGAAATTCCAATGTTCTTAAAGATTAAATTCGTATAGGGGAGGGTAAAAATCTTGAGTGCTGTTTTGATTGGACGTTGCCTGAGCTGATTATGGTTTTCAAGCCATAAGAGATGACAATTTATTACTTTGTTATTACTGTAGTTTAGTTTCAATCAAACCAAATGCAAAAACAGTTTGCCCCTCTCGTGATGCTCACTGGAAGAGTGCACTAAACGTCGATTTGAGATCGTATCAAAAAAAGTTTTATGATGTTCAAATTTTTTTTTTTTTGGAAAAAGGGGGCAACCGAGCAGACGGCCTACTTGATGGTAGGTAGTTACCGTCGCTCATAGGCATCCGCAACGTAGATTTGCGGATGTGTTGCCGCCCTTGTTTGGGGAAAAGGGGGAGGAAATTGTGGGAAATGGAGTAAAAGGTAAGGGTGGGAAAAGGGAAAGGGCAATTCAATATAATTTTTCAGTGGTAATAATGATTATTTTATTTGGAATATTATTTAAACGTAGTATTGACACTACTGTTACTGTTACATGATATCAATTACCTTAGAGCAACAGCTATTATATGTATATATACGTATATACCATAACAGCTCATGGAGTGTGATTTAAATTAAATATATATTTGACGATTCCGTTTCATCCGCCTATTCTATTGTTCTTGCCTTAATTAAGATCATAAAAACTTAAAAATCTATACTCTTTTTGACTAAATATATCATAATGTTTATTAATGTTAAACAACAGTTTGTGCAATTACCTCAGATTCAGTTGTTATACATTTATTTCGGATCGGATATTTTGAACTAAAGCGCAATTTCTGAGATTTTAAAATAATTCACAGAATTTTTAAGGACAAAATATAATGTTTATTTATTTAAAGGATTAAAAATAACAATATAAAAAAAAGTTATGTACCTATAGTATGTAATATTTATTTAGAATACAATACATTAATTTACACTTTTGTTTTTTAGAAAACAATAAGTTATAGAGATTTTATTCATTGTAAAATCATGTAATGGTAAAAGCGCCAATGAACTCACACAATATGGATGTCACAATATGGATCCACTCAGTTTTCACAGCAAATACAATCTATGTTAGACCACTTTGATGACGCAATTGTCAGGGGACGTGCGGCAATTAAACCTCAGTTGACTCAGCCGTGATTAATTTATCACAGGTGACCAAGTCCTGCTGAAGTCTACTATTTAGCAAAAACGCTTCTTGAGTACTTAAAAAAATTAAGGTAATTGTACAAAATTTGATATACTGCTTTACTCTATCTCTTCAATGTAAAATTATTTTTTAACTGTCGGTTGATATAAAGTATTTATAAGCAAAAATTTTGTTGGAATGTTAAATATATATAAAAAAGATAATTTAAGTAGGTACATCGCTCTTATTATTTAATTGGATAGAATGAATAAAAAAGAATTTAAGAAAGTATTCCTAACTTTATTTTAACCAAACACAATCGGTATCAAATAAGAATTAGGAAAAAAAAATGAATTCCCAATTGTTATGCTCCTCATGTGTTAATTTTTTTGTGAAATATACCTGAAGTAATACTAATTTACAGAGTACTTGATTTAAGCAATTATTATAATTTTTCATTATAAATTTAACAAAATCTATTAACGTCACTTTGAGCGTTATTTTGTTTAAAGAATTTAATTTGTATAAATTTGAATGTTCACATGTGACCATTC